GTGCTTTTGGGGTCTGGCTGCGCGTACAAACAGGGCCCTGGCCACCACAGGCAGCTCTATTGTCCTTCCCTGGAGAGCGACCTTATATCTAGTATTTGAGAAAAAGCTTATTTTCCCAGGTGGGATTCAGTAGATGCAGGTTTTGGTAGAGGACATGGGGGTCTGAGTGACCTGGGTTTTGCCCACAGTGAGCATTTCTGTGCTAGCTGCTGTTAGTATAGGAATACTGTCTACCTGCTTTGTGGGCTTGTGAGCCTGGACGGTGTGTGTATGGGGTGGGGGGACACTTTGTAGAAACTGCTTTTCTATCAAAGCCAGTAAAAGGAGGGGGTGGGGTGGGAAATCTTGGACAGTCCTTCTCTCTTCCTGGACTCACATCACTCACAACTTGTTTCCTGAAAATCCTAATACACTCCAGTGGTGAGAGATGGCTTCCTGCTGATATGCTGAGCCAGCCCCTTGTCAGGGAGGAGATGAGGACAAGATGTGGCTGAAGAAGGGGCGGGTGGGCCAAGCCGTGCTGCTCAGTGGCCCTGTGGCCCTCTCTCTGAGTCCTGAGAACACTGCCAGGGCACCCCATGGGCACGCAGGCATAGATAGGCCTGGCTCGGGGCAGTGGAGAGGATTTGGAAGTTGTGTTTTGTCTATCGGTAGAATTGCACAGATGGTGGTGATGAAACATGACCCTTCCTTTTGCTTCTAGAAAGAAAGACCTTCCTGGCCAACATCTGTAACCCTATTTGGAGAAAAGGTTGTTGTTTCAAAAAACTAGCCCTGAAGTTCTTAACATATCCATCCATCCCCTTTCTCCTGCCATGTGCTTTGCTTACTATATTTTTCTTGCATATATTCGCATCTAACAGGTCATGACATTTTTGTGACATCCCGTGTGTCTGCAAGGCAACTATCATTACCATCAAATTGTGGTTTGGACTGCTGGTTCTTGGAAGTGCTTTATTTTTATGCTTCTGCCTTCTAAGGGAGACAGAGCAGAAAAGTGCTTAAGAAGCATAGTCAGGGCCAACAGACCTGGGTCTGAAACCTGGCCCTGACATCATGCCATGAGAACTTGGACAAGTTAAATGTCTGAATTCCCAGTGTCCTCAATTACAAAACGGGGAAACAATTAGGACCTACCTCATAGGCGTGTTGTACATAGGTGTGTTAAATGGTTTAACACTTCAATATGTGTGAACTGTTGTGATGCAACTTATCTGGTTTTTTCAAACTCAGAATGATCCAGGATGTGGTAGAGGCAGGAAGGTGATAGGATAGGGGCTTGGAGAATGAGACACTTTGATATTTCTGAAGTTCACCTACCTTAAAAATATTTTGAGGACTTGTGGTCTAGGGTGGTGGTTCTGCATCAAAATCACTGAGAGAGTTATTACAATGGATAGTTGGGCCCTAACCCCAGAGTTTCTGTCCGCCCCAGTACATTTGGGCTGGGGTCCAACAGTCTGCATTTTTAACGAATTCCTAGGTGATGCTGATGCTGCTGGTCTTGAAATGGCAGTTAGGTAGAAGAGGAAGCAGATTGTTCCATGTAGATTCAGAAGACAGAATGAGGCCAGTGGGTGCCAGTGACAGAGATAGATTTTGGTTCATTGTAAGAACGTTAACTGTTGTATGTGGTCTAAAATGGAGTGGGTGGTCTCATGAGTTCCCTGTCATTGGAGATGTCCAATCCTGAAGGGCCATCTGGCAGATTCCTATGCTAGGTAGAAGGTTCATTTGTTCATTCGTTCCTTCGCTTATTCCTTCTCCCACTTACTCACAGAATAAACATGTACTGCCTGCCTGGTACGTGCTGGGAGCTGGGGAGAAGCCCTGAATGAAGCACCTGTGCCCTTGCTCTTAGGGAGCCCACAGTTTAGTGAGTTTGGCTAAATGATTACAAAAGTCCCTTTCAACCCTGAGGCTCTGGGAGTCCTATGATAATGGTGTCAGATCCTCAGAATAAGAAGCTGCAGAAAGATGCTTACCCTTCTGAAGGTATGGCTGGGGACTGACCATAATGTGGACACCTCTGAGGTTCAATCTGGAATGTTCTCTTTGGAGCATCTTAATGTCACTGAATGAATGATTTTTTTTTTCCCCCTGAGACCCAGACTAGGCTGAGAATGTATTTACCAGGGGTGCATTTCCTCTGGGAAAATTCACATCTCCCCACTGGCACTGGGAACGGACCATTAAACTCTGAACCCTTTTCTAGCTGTCCATGATGCCATCTGTGAAGGCAGATCTAGGGAGTGGGCCTGCGAGAATAAGCTAATTGCCTTTTCATCTCTCTCAAGTGATAAACTGGAACATTAATGGCTGGGGAGAGTTAGGGGAAAATGGGTAGATTATATCAGTTTTTCTGGGTTCTTCCATCATAATCCCTGGTGAAAGCAATAATGATAATTGCTGACCTGTACAGAGCTTACTCTATGCCAGGCCTGGTGTTAAGCCCTTTTTGTGCATTTTGTTATGATACTCTTAATATAGCCCTAACAAGTAGGCATATTATCCTCATATTTGCAAGGAGAGGAAACAAAGGTTCAGAGAGGTAAAGTAACTCACTCATGGCCATGGAGACAGTAGATGTCAGAGCTGGAATGTAAACTTCATTCCCTCAGACTCCAGACCATGCTCCAAGCTCCTAATGCTGAAAACAACTCATTCATTCAATTACTAGTTAAGTCATTCTTTCATTAAATAAATGTTAAGCACTGGTATGTACTGGTGCACTAAACAGCTTGGCCTCAGTCCTCCTGAGGCCTATGGTTTATTTCCCGCAGACAAATGGGTGACTCCTTCCTTGGATCCTTGGCTTATTAGGTGCTAAGGAGAAAGACATAGGGCTGGGAGACAGACGCTGCCAAGTGAGCTACAGACCCAGAGTTTTCATGTGAATGAGAGTTTCTCTACACAAGCTGGGTTTTGTACTTCGCTTTATTTTTACATTTTTCTTTTTTTTTTTTTTTTTTTTTTTTTTTTTTTTTTTTTTTTTTTTTTTTTTTTTTTTTTTTTTTTTTTTTTTTTTTTAATTTTTTTTCCAACGTTTTTATTTATTTTTGGGACAGAGAGAGACAGAGCATGAACGGGGGAGGGGCAGAGAGAGAGGGAGACACAGAATCGGAAACAGGCTCCAGGCTCCGAGCCATCAGCCCAGAGCCTGACGCGGGGCTCGAACTCACGGACCGCGAGATCGTGACCTGGCTGAAGTCGGACGCTTAACCAACTGCGCCACCCAGGCGCCCCTACATTTTTCTGTTGGGTTTCTTTTCTTCTTGTCCAAGCCTTGATGTTGAAGGGCTTCATGTAGTAGAAGAGACAGTTCTTGTGACATTTGCCTTTTGGCTGCACTCCGGAGTGGAGAGGAATCTCAGTCAGGAGTCCCAGAACTTACAGCCAGAAGTGACTCTGGAGACCCTCTTCAACGGACCTCGTCTTGCTGGGAAATGTCCTCTCTTCCAAAACCAGGGTTGTCTTTGCACATTCCTTTGGCTCTCTGTGCTGGCCTCAGTCTATACTTTCTTCTTCCTAAAAGCAGTTTCAAATTAGGTTTTCAGGTTTCAAAATAAATAATTATTTTTTAAAAAAATCAACCAGTTTTTAGAAATATGCAACTTAGATTGTGAACATCTGCAATGCCCTGAGATAACCACCATTAACAATGGGCATTTGCTTCTCCGTGTGTTCTCAATGCCTACACTTGTGTGTATTGTTATCAGTTTTTCATTAGGAGGGATTTTTTTTTATTTTTTAAAAAAAATTTTTTTTTCAACGTTTTTATTTATTTTTGGGACAGAGAGAGACAGAGCATGAACGGGGGAGGGGCAGAGAGAGAGGGAGACACAGAATCCGAAACAGGCTCCAGGCTCTGAGCCATCAGCCCAGAGCCCGACGCGGGGCTCGAACTCACGGACCGCGAGATCGTGACCTGGCTGAAGTCGGACGCTCAACCGACTGCGCCACCCAGGCGCCCCTAGGAGGGATTTTTAAAATGTGTATTTTCCTGAAATGTATTGTTTTGATCTAACTCCATTTTTAAACATTTTTTTCCATGTTAGTACATCTAGATCCTCTTAATTCTTGTTTTGTTAGACTTCAATTTCTCTTCCATGAGACACCTTTTTGCCCTTAGACTTCAACTTTCTATAGATGCATTTTGCTTTTAATGTGGCTGAGCTAGTTGAAACGTCCATTTGGCTCTTTTATTTTTCTTTTAACTTTTAGAGAAATGCTAAGAACCTTGTTTGGTGTTGCCTTGCCTTTGATGAGGGATTCTTAACTTCAGCTTCAAGGGGTCTGTGGCAAGAGAGAAACCAATGTGAAGTTTTAGAAAAGAAAAGAAAATAAGAATTTGTGGTAAGGGTAACACAGAACTACCAGGTCTCAGGACATCGGGACCACTAGGTCTCAGCAAAGGCAGACAAAGGCAACTCTGGGAATCGAGGAAGCAGGAACAAAGGAACAGATGAATTGCTTCCATCTTTTTGGTTTTTGCAACATCACTCCATTGGCTTAGCTTGGAACATGGGCCACTCTTGGCCAAGGCCAGGTAGGACACCTTGATTGGCAGTCTCACCAGAACATGCAACAGGATGGAAGGATTCCCATGAAGAAAAATTGGCGAGCCAATACTGCAAGTTGGTGGATGCAGTGCTAGCATAATTATAGGTACAAAAGAGCGTCCAAAGACCTTGGGAAATTTTGAATATGGGTTCGCTTGTGTGTATTCCCAGGACCCAGAAAAAGTTGCGACCACTGCTGTCGTTTTGTCTCCTTCATCTGGTTGTGTCCATACTAAGTGATGATCCCATTAAGAACAAAATTAATAAACTTCCTCCTGGTTTTCTTTTTGTTCCGTAGGCCCTTAGGGCTGCTCATTTTCTTCTGCACAGAGATGCTTGGGTGGTTCTTCCTGGGTCATTTAGAATGACTGCCCACTGTTTCCAGGAGGGTGGAGGCCAGCACCTAAAGAGACAAATGTCTATGTTTATTCTTTGCAGGTACCTTTTTGCTCCAGCCTACACAGAAACCTATTATACTCCAAGTGGCAACGCTCAAACCACCATGCTGAAATCTAAGGTGAGTTCAGGTCAGCAGGGATCTGTCAAGCAGCTGGCCTGTCCTGGTCCCACCCCCGGGAAGTGAGGAGATATGTGGTGGGCACAGTCCCTCCTCTGGAGGGATTGTTTGCCCTGACCCCAGACCCAGGGCATGAGCAGGAAAAGCAAAATGTGAATTTGTTGTTTCATAAGGGCTCCCTCTCCTCTGCTGACTAAAATGATCAGGCAAACAGAATATTTTAGGGTAAGTGCCTCTGACTACAATTGGCATAAATCATTACAAAGCAGACATTTTCTCTGTTGTATGTTAATCACCCACATATTAACAAAAGTTTAAGTAAAAGGAATGATTTACTGGTAATCCTGCCATTGCACTTTATTAGATGTTTAATTGAGACTTTTCCATATGGATGTATAAGGTTTTGTAGTCTGCCTTTTTTTTTTTTTTTTTTTTTTTTTAATGTTTATTTATTTTTGAGACAGAGAGAGACAGAGCATGAACGGGGGAGGGGCAGAGAGAGAGGGAGACACAGAATCGGAAACAGGTTTGGGCTCTCCGAGCCATCCAGCTCCAGAGCCCCTGACAGGTGACAACTCACGGACCCACGGTGACCTACCAGCTGAAGTGGGGCAGCTCAACCCATTTCTGCATACCACCATGCCTTTTTTAATGGGATTTTAGGTTTCATAGATTTTCTTGTTTTGCTGCCATCTTCATATTGGATATTTTCCCCCTCGAAAGTGTTTTTGAGTTTGGCTATTTGCAAAAAGATTTGTCATTTAAAAAATGGTCTTTCAAATGGTTTCTCAGAAGGATGAATTTTAGTCTGCTTCACCACACCCCACTGGTGGGCACTTAAGGTAGTGAATTGTACACGTTTCATGGTCTGCTAGCTTTTCCTACTGAAGTACCTGCTAGTGTTCTTGGGGTCAGATCAGTGGTTCTCAGCTGGGAGTGATTTTGTTTAAAGTGTTTAAACTTTTGTTAACATGTGGGTAACTCACATAATGCAAAGAAAATAGGATTCGGGATGATTTATATCAATTTTAATCAGATGCAGTTACCCTAAAATATTCTATTTGTTTCTTTGACCATTTTGGCCAGCAAAGGCTTGGGGGACACTTGGCAATGTCTGGAGCCAGTTGTTGACTGTCATGACTGGGAGGTGGATGCTACCAGCATCTGGTGGGTAGAAGCCAGGGATCCTGCTAAGTGTCCTACAGTGCATAAGGCAGCCTCTCCACAACAGAGGATTATCTGGCCCCAAATGTCAACAGTGCCCAAGGTGAGACACTCTGGATTAGAGTGACCCTTCTCGGACCATGCAGATGAGATGGGGTGAAGAAGGGAAGATGGAACACCAGTGGTCTTCTGCCTTTGGGGCAGGACATCACGCACTTTTGTGGCATATAGATGTGGAGGTGTGGTGTATAGGGCCACAGGGTAGGTCCCTCTGCCTCAGTGCTCCTCTGGCAGCTTCCTGTGGAATCTTAGATTCCTGCATGACCCATCTTTAAAATATCCCTGTTAGAGGGTAGATGTCCAAAAGGCCATGGCAGCCACCATCAGTCAGTAAAAGCTCAGATTAGTTTATCAGCTTAGCCTTGGATGGGGAAAGGGACTCAGGACAGCTAAGTTTTAATAGATCTAAGAGGTCTGGAGCATAGTAATCAGGTGGCTGAGATGCTGTGTTGGATTGCTGCATGTGAAGATTAATGCAATCTTACTCACCAAGACCTTCCTGGATAGGGAAGGAATTGGCAGTGTGGCCACTACCCACAACAGGCAAGTTGGCTATGTCTTCTCATCTCTGGGGAGGCTATCCAGCTGTGGCTCCCCACCTTCTTCAGTATCCCTGGTCAAAACCTCTTCCATCATTGAGACTAAAGTTCTGTGCTTCCAGGGAAGGAGGGAGAGGGCAGGCACGCCTCGAAAGCCCCTACACATAAGGACCTCACAAAGCACGGTCCTCTCAGTTTGGCTCCTGCACTTCTCTACCCACAGCTCAAGAATGGGTCTCAGTGCACAAGTTTACCATGAGCTCATACTTCCTGCTATGAAAGCCCCCTTGGGTGGCCCCCTCAGGCCGAGAAGCTGAGAAGGAATGCGATGACTTCATGACTGTTCATTTACTTGTTCTTTGTGCTCTCAGAGTCAGGCAGAGATGCTGTGAGGGCCTTTCAGATGGAAGAGAACTTCCCCTCATTCCCAGAACTCTCCTTCTTCCGGAAGGTCTTGTTGACCAAAACACATCCTAGCTGAAGTATGGGATAACCCATTGTTTTCTTATATCCCCTCCTGCAGGACTCTTGCAAAGCCCCCACCCGGCCTCAGGGAGCTCCTAGTCAGCTTTCTTATCTGGGAGCTGAGGACTTCAAAGAGAAATGAGAATAGAATAAACCACTTGGCTGTGCTTGACCCCAATGTTGAGAGCCATGCCCTGCTACCAGCCTGGGCCTGGGATAGTGGGAGCTCTGGAGCTCTGGGAACTTCCTCAAACTCATCAGCCAGGCCTGTAGGAGTTACAGAGTTTGGGGTCTAAAGCCAGGGTTGTAGCCTTGGCTTTAACTAGCTATGTGACCTTCAGCAACCCTTTGACCACACTAGTATTGAGTTTCTTCATCAGAAAACTGGATATGCTAAGATCTGACTCTCAGAGCTGTAGAAGGGTACAATGAATCACTGATTTTATGAGAATTTATAAACATCTCTCCCAACACCACATTTTATTCATGAGGAAATGGAGAGAAGAGAAAAAGTAACATGCTTACCTTCAGATAACCAGTAAATGGCAAGGCTTAGACTAGAGCTCAGTCCTCCTTGGTGCTAGAAGAGAGAAGAGCTGTAACAAATGAAGCCCTGTGCACTTTCCTGGGGCTGCTTTTGCCAGGGGTGGCTATGGAGTCTGGAGTCAGGCTGCTATCATTCCAGTCTCCACCTGGGTGTGTGACCTTGGGAAAGACTTGAAACCTCTCCAACCTTTAGTTTCCCCCCACCTCCTTTTTTTTTTTTTTTTAATTAATTTATTTTGAGAGAGACAGAGCATGAGTGGGAGAGGGGCAGAGAGGGAGAGAGAGAGAGAGAGAGAGAGAGAGAGAAAGAGAGAGAGAATACCAAGCAAGCTCCACGCTGTCAGCACAGAGCCTGATGTGGGACTTGAACCCACAAAACCGTGAAATCATGACCCAAGCTGAAATCAGGACTCGGATGCTTAACTGACTGAGCTACCCAGGTGCCCCTAGTTTCCCTTTTTAAAAAATGGGAATAATAATATCTACCTCCTAAGGCTGTGAGATTGTCAGAATTAAAAGGAAAAAATCGACATCAGTTTTTTATCCAGTAGTAAGGGCTGGATAGATGTTAGCCCTTATTGTTTGTAACAGGAAATGGTGGGATCATTATCACACACGATGATGTGTGTGAAAGCCCCTGGTAAATTTAAAGCATGTTACAAAAGTCAGTTGTTAATGCTATTTCAGAGAGCACTCAGTGAACACATCAGTCCAAAGAGGTACAAAGAGGTACAGGGATCCTTCACTCCCATCCCTGGATCTGAATTCTCTTTATCTGTAGAGGTACTTAGATTTTTGAAACTAGCTGACCCCCATTCTGAACTTCTTGACTCCCCGTCATTCCAACATCTGCTAACCCCTTTTACTCCATAAAAGCCAGGCCCCCTCTTCCACTTGTGAATGATCCTGGGCTGTGGAGTTCATGGCCCTGTAGCTGAGTTCTAAGGATCAGGTTCAGAATCCGAGCATTTGATGATGTGTCTCCAGGTCTTGGAATCTGGGGATGGAGGGAGAAACCATGTGATAGTCTGGCATTTGCAAGCAGATGCAATCGTGGCTGGAAAAAAGGTTGCCCCTGCCTCACCTTGTCTCATAGGTGCAACACAGTGGCTTTCCTTTGTGCACCTCTGGTCAGGATCTGACTTGTTTGATGTCCAGGAGAGTTTGATGCAGAGAGGGGCTGCTGCCTGTCCCTCATCCGGAGGGCCTGAGCCCAAATGGGTGGAGGAGCTGCACTGCTGGCCAGTGGGTTGTCGCCAGGTGGAAGGGCACCCACCAGTGGTCTGGGGACTGACCCTGAACTGAGTGCCAGCCTGGCCCATGTCCTGTGATCTGACTGCATGGCTCAGCTGCATGGGACATAGAATTGGTGTGGCGATGACTGAGGATTCAGGCTCTTGGTTGGCTTCCAGCTCTCTCAAGGCCACATTTTGCCTTTGACAAGGAGAATTTAACGCCTACAACATGATCACTAAGGTTTATTGCCGGCTACTCTGGGCCAGGCGCCCTGCACTAGGTCCTTGATGTACTGTATTCTCACAGCCACCTCGTGAGGTAGAGACTGAAGACACTGGAGGTCTGAGAGACATTGTGAACTGTTTGCATCGCTGGCAGGTGTGGGAGCTTGTGTTTAAATCTGGCCTGGCTGTGCCAAAATGCTTGAATTTAATTATTGGGCTGTCCTGCCTCGAGGTGGGTGGAAGGTGGAGCCAGAGAATATGCAGGAATGGGTTAGCTGTCTCCTGGGTCACATCCTTGCCGGCTGGGGATCAAAGAACAACTACAAGCAAGTGTGGTCCTAGTGATGGATCACTTGGATTGTTCTGTAGGCTGATGCCCGAGATTTCTTTTTTTTTAAAGATTCTATCTACGCCCAACGTGGGGCTCAAACCCACAACCCCAAGATCAAATGTCACGCGCTTCACTGAGTCAGCATGGCATCCCGTGATGCCCGAGATTTCTGATTGGCCCCGCTCTGCTTTGGGGGGGAAAGAGAGAGCTCCTGGGTCTGCAGCTACATAGCTTATACCCTTCCTAAGACCTTTGCAGAACCTGGCTCTGCCCTGGGGATTTTCCCTTCTCTCTGTTCTGACCAGCTTCTCTCTCTTGAACTATCTGGGAAGAGGCTTGGAGGAGCGCATCCCTCGTTATCACCCTGTAGGGGAAAGTCGTGGTTTGTGCTTCAGTGCTCCCACAGCTGTGTTGGCCTCGTAGATGCTCTGGTGCGCCTACTTATGAAACACTCTGCTGGCACCTCCCAACTTTTACTTCAAGCCTCTCTTCACAGTTTGTAATTAAATCTTTGTATGGCTTTTTAATTAAGATTGGCTCTCACAAGCCTGTAAGCCCCAGGAAGGCTGGAGCTGTGTCTGTTCGCTCCTTGCTGTGTCTCCCGGGCCTGGCTGAGGGGCCTGGCGCATGGCGCGGTGCTCAGCAGCTGTCTGTAGTCACGAGGAGTCCAGCCAGGTCGGGAAGACCAGATGGCTGTGAGACACAGCAGTGAGAGAAGAGCATCAGAGCTCCATGCATCCATGGATGCAGGTGCCAAGTCAAGTCTGATCCAGACACACAGGGACTCAGGGGAGGTGGGGAAGAAGGGGGGCTGTTGGATTCCCAGGGCTGCCATAGCAAAGCAGTGTGAACTCGGGAGCGTAAAACGCAGTTCCGGAGGCTGCAAGTCCAAAATCACAGTGTCAGCAGGGGCCAGGCTTCCGCTGTAGTCCCTTGGGAGGAATGCTTCCTTGCCTTTTCTAGCTTCTGGTGGCTCCTGGCAGAGTCTGTGGTGCTGCTTGGCTTGTAGCTGCATCTCTCTAATCTCTGCCACTGTCTTCCAGTGGCCTCTTCTCTGTCTGTCTGTCTGTCTCTCTGTGTCCTCTCCTCTTTTTTTAATAAAGAAAAATGATAAAGTCCAGTGTGACTTCATCTTAATTTAATGACATCTATAGAGACCCCATTCCAAATAAGATCACACTCAGGTTCTGGGTGGACACACATTTCAACTCTGCAGGGCAGCCACAGAGGTGACCCCAGCCAGTGTTTCCTGTGGTCACATGTCCTGGAAAGAGCTCTGAACTAGACCTGAAGTCCTGGCTTCTCTGACTAGCAGGGAAACCTTTGGAAAATCTTTTTGCTTCTCTGAATTCTGGCTGCTTCATCTGTTCAGTCGGGATGATGACATCTGCCCTGTCCCACCTCCCAGGACTATTATGAGGATCAAATAAAATGGTGGCTTGGAAAGCTCTTTGCAGAGTGTAAGTTAAGATCTATATAATCATCCCTGACCTTCACAAGACATTAACATCGCCATGCTTATCAGTGTCCTTTGGCCTGACCACCCCCCCTTTTCTCCTTGCTAGGACCACTGCTTTTACCACGGGACGGTGAGGAAGGCAGAACAGTCCAGTGTCACACTCAGCACCTGCCGGGGAATAAGGTAAGAGGCCCTGACAGTGCTGGCGGAGCACCTGGCCCTCTCTCTAGACAAGTGGTAGGGCTGGCCCTGGGCAGGGTCCTTGAGAAGCTGTCCGTTGAGAGTGTATGCCAGCCAGTTCTAAGAAGGGCTGAGCTTGGGAGAGAAGAGGGGAATCATTGACGATCCACATTTTCACTTGGATTGAGCTCTGTCTTGAGGAACTTGAATTTATTATTATTTAGGGATGGTGAAGCCAACAGGCCAGGAGATGACTGCCATTGAAAAAATAGTTTATTGTACTCAAGATCCCAAGAGGAGGGGCACACCGCATAGGGAAGCATACGGGTCAGTCAGGGGGCAGGGTGTGGGAGATGGGAGGATGTGGGCAAGAGTCTTTACTGTGGTTTCTACAGGAAGAAACAGGCAAAGCAGGGTAAGTATGTTTAGTATTGGCTACTTGGAATAATTCAGTGGGATCTGAGGCACAGGGGCTCTTCCCAGTTGTCTGGAACCTAGCCCTGGGGTGACCAGGGTAGGGGGACAGGGGCCCAGAGGGTGAGAGCCTGAATTTGAAACTTGTTTACCATCCTGGGAATGGGCCGATCCTGAGAAGGGCAAGGCCTCAGCTGTCAAAGAATCAGAATATCGAAAATAAAAGACAGGGTTCATACACATGAAATGAGTGTGAGCACTTATTCCCACTTCTCCTTTGCTCTTCTCTGGTAGAAGTACTTGTAGGTGGTAAGAAAGGAAATGGAAGAGGAGAGGAGAAGAGAAAGGGAAAGCAAGGTCACTTTCAAGAAGGTCCAGCTAGGTCCTTGGAAAGGTCCACTGGAAAGAGAATGGCTCTTCATTCTCTGAACCAGACTCCCTGGGTTTGAGCCAGGAGCAGTTGACCAGCTGGGTAACCCTGGGCCTCAGTGGTCTCCTGTGTAACATGTGGATAAGGGGGAAATGTCCCTAGTGTCACAAGGATTGAATGTGTTAATAGATCTCTAACGTTCAGAACTGGCTGGCATAAAGTAGCACTCAACAGCCTCCTGGCCCCTTGCTTCCTAGATGCCCCGTTAGAGGGGCGATATTGACACCACCTGGGAGCCTCTTCAAAATGCAGTATCTCAGGTCCCACCCAGAACAAGTGGATCACAATCTACATTTTACCAAGATCCCCAGGGGATTCGTGTTCACATTACAGTTTGTACCTGAGAATACATGTTTCTCAAATCCTTGTTTCTCTCCTCCAGCCTATGCTAGTGCTTTGCATATAGTAGGATCTACACATGTATGTTGAAGTAATAAATATCATTCATTTAGACTCTTCCCACTCTCTCCTTCTTTTGGAAAAGAGATGAGGATCTGAAAAACCTGTATTCTAATTGCCAACACTACGGGTTTTACAATTGGGTTTTAATTGCCTATACTACGTGGCACCTATACCCAGTGTGTTGATGAATTGGCACTATGGGGGAAAAAAGGGGCAAAAAAGCCCTGAGTTGTAGTATCTGCCAATATGCTGGTAGAACTGCTCCCACCATAACCAATTTAAAGCTATGAACGTGACGTTACTGAAGGCAGCTTTGGGAGGTATGCACACGATGGGCTCCCATGAATTAGTAGGAGGTGTTTCCACTGTGTACCCTTCCTCTCTGTTGGTCAGTTCAGTCAGTGACTGTTTCTTTCATTCAAATTAATATCGGGTGCCTACTCTAAGCCCATGTCCTACACAGGTAGAGGAAAGACAGACATTGAAAAGTAATTTTCTGGGCCCTCAGTTTCCTAATCTGTAAAATGGGCATTGATGATAGGCATGGTAGACCATGTTAAGTGCTGTGTTAGCTCTATAGCACTCTACAGACATACGGGATTATTATCATTTTACAACAGGGAAGCCATGCCAACTAAGACTTACCCCAGGCTCACAGGCAAGTGCAAGGCCCCTCATGCTGCAGATCCCATGTGTTTGTTTATAAATTGGACCACGTCTCCTCTGTAAGGACTCGTGTTGAGTCTGCCGGAGGGAATTAGGCAGGAAACAAGCTTTGGCTGGGAGACCATAACTGTGGCTCCAGATCCCCTGCTCAGATGACCTGATTGAGCCAAACCAACTGGTCTCCCAGTGGTGTTTACAGACCCGGCCACCACCACCTGCAGTCTGCAAGTAAACAGTGTGTCTCCCAAGAAGGAAGAAAGGGAACATGCAGGTGTGACTTGCTTCTCTCTTCCTCTGTCTCCATGGTCTGGAGCAGTGGGAACTTGGCTTGGACTCTTGCAAATCATTCCTGCAGCCGTGCTGACAGGGGGAAACCGGGTGAGCCGTCCATGTGTTTCTATTTTGCATGCTTTCCTCTGGTGCAGTCCACCCATCTGACTTTTCCAGCCTTCTCACTACACACCTTAAGAACTTACGGGTGTCTGTGGGCCCGGCTGACCTCAGAGCCAGAGACGCATGCCAGATGTCTCGATTCAGACTCTAGAGAAGGAGAGGCTGCAGCAGCCTTCTAACCCACATAACCCCCAAGTCACTCCCCAGGCTCATAAAACGATGCTGCAGTGGAAAAAATCTCCATCGTGATTGTGCTTCCCTCCTGGGAACATGCCCCTCGTGATTGGAGAAAACAGGTAGGACTTATAACAAATGGAACCTTCAGGCTGATAATACAAATACAGAGGAGTTCACCTTAGTTTCCAGATTGTTGCTGGGCCCCCTCGTCTCTCCAAAACAGTACTTTGGGTGACTTTAATTGAAGCACTAATACATGATCATAGTAAAAGCAAATTCGAATAGTACAAAAGAGGGTATAATGAAGGACAGGTTTCTTTTTCACCCAGGATTTTCGGGTTCCTCCCTCCCCAGAGGCAGCCATTGTTACCAGTTATCTTATTTATCCTTTTAGAAATACTTTTTTCAAAAAAAGAACATTGATATGTAATATAGTGTTTTGTAATCCCATTTGGGCCACTGACACCTTTGAGAATCAAGTGGCAGCTGTGGATACTCATAAAATACACAAGTGAAATACCATTTCACTAGGGATGCTGGGTGTCCATGCCCCCGAAGCCTGTCTCTGATCAACGACTCATCCTCTAGATGTCTACCTGACTTTTCACATGTACAAATGCTTTGCAAAGTAACACAGTATAAATGTGAGGAGGGATGATTATTTGTGAAGAAATCTAGAGAGTACTGAGATGAAGTGATCGTGAGTGAGTCTGTGGGTTCTGGGAGATACACTGTGTGTGTGTGTGTGTGTGTGTGTGTGTGTGTGTGTGTGTGTGTGTATCCCTAGCTCACTGTCATCAAGAGAGGTATTGATTGCAAAAAAACATTTTTTTAAGTTTATTTATTTATTTTGAGAGTGAAAGCAAGGGGTGCAGAGAGTGAGGGAGAGTCTTAAGCAGGCTCCACGTGGGGCTCGATCACACCAATTGTGAGATCATGACCAGAGCCAAGATCAGGAGTTGGACACCCAATCGGCTGAGTCACCCCGGCACCCCAAAACATTTTTTTACCTCAATGGTAAGTTGTTTATTTTTAAAGAAAATGCTTATTAAAAATTATTATTGTACAACTAGTGTGTTAAACATTCAAATAATCCAGAAGTATCCAGTTAAAAGAAGTGCAAGTTCTGTATCCTGTTCCACGGTTCCATCCAATTGCATCTCCATGTATAATCACTGTTGGGGGTGTACATAAATGCAAGGCACACCCGTGTGCATACCTGGTGTTTCTTAATCCAAACGAGGTTACCCAGTACATAACATTCTGTAATTGTTTTCCAACTTAACATTATGTCTTAGACACATATAGATCTACCTCATTCTTTGCATGGCTGCATAGTGTCTTATGTATGTGTGTCTGGCAAGTTCATATACAGAGAAGGATATACAATAAATCATCTGTGGTTTTTATTTGATGCTTCACTCCTACAGTGGCTCTGTCCTCAAAACTCTGGGGCCCTCACTGACTGTGGTTATACCTTACCCCTGCCCAGGACTCAAGTCTGTGAGAGAGGCCAGGGAGAAAGAATATGAGATTAAAAGTGAATGCAAGATTATGTGTGCATGATGGCCTGGAAGGAGCTCAGAACTTAGAGTCAAGGAACCTGTGTTTGAGACCTAGCTCCACGCCTCCTGGCTGTGTGATCTCAAGCTTTCCCCTCCCCAAATCATTTTCTCCTTGGCTTTACCTTGGCTGGGCTGGCACCTCCCATGGGCCTTACTCAGTTTTGCAGACGTTGCTCATGGTGCAAGGGCTGCGGGTGGGCGGTGGGGGTGGGGGCTGGTGTCAGGATCCCACTGGGGAGTGAGGAGCCTGTTGATCACAAGACTGGGCTCTTCCCCCTGGCTCTAGCTACTGACCTTGACAAGTTCCTTCTTCTCTGGGCTTTGGTTCCTCTCATCTGAAAAAGGAAGGTAGATCAGATCACGCAAAGGGCTCTTCCGTGTTGGAAGTTCTGTGTCGCAGAGACAGTGGACAGTCTCAGGGAGCTGGGCACCTGGGGCAGGAGGAGGTGGCTCATAAGTACATGGCAGTCCATCCTTGTCTTCGCTTTGCCAAGGAGTGGCATGGCCTTTCCCTTTTGAATATCTGGCCTTCCTTCTGAAGAACAGACAATAAATGCTACCTGTGTATCAGGCACAGAGTAAGTCTTCACAGGGCAGTACCGTTCAGTCATGACAGGTATAGATTCCGGACTCAAGCCATTCCTGGTTTAAAACCTGACAACTCGGGGCACCTGGGTGACTCAGTCAGTTAAGTGTCCAACTTCGGCTCAGGTCATGATCTCACGGTTTGTGAGTTCAAGCTCTGCATTGGGCTCTCTGCTGTCAGCACGGAGTCTGCTTCAGATCCTCTGTCTCCCTCTCTGTCTGCCCTTCCCCCACTATCTTTCTCTCTTGATCTCTCTCTCTCAAAAATAAATAAACATTAAAAAAAAATTTTTAAAAACCTGACAACTCACTTTAATTCTCTAGTGTCAGTTTTCTCGCTTATAAAATGGGAATAATCATGACATCATTGGTGGATTTGCATTAGGTGATGAGTGCAAGCTCCTTGAGAGCAGGGACTCTCTGATCATGTTGCATCCCCAGCACCTAAAACAGCTCCTGGCACATAGTAGGTTCAATATACCTGTGTTGAAGGGCTACCGAATGGCTGCCTATTCGTTCAGTCAATTATCCCAGCCACAGTGTGAGCCAGCCAGCATTATTGACTTAGCATAATGCTAGTAGACAGCAGAGCCAGAATTCAAATCCAGATGTGTCTCCCTCCTGAGCCCACACTCTCCACTTGTGCCTTGCCACCCTATCCCGGAGGGCGCACGTCACCTATATGCCTTCTGCCTACTGTGCTGCCTTTGATGTTCCCAGTAACTTTTTCTCCTTGGATGGAGACTGGGGAGGGAAGAGGGAAAGCAGGGTAACAGGGTGGTTACCTCTTAGAGCAGCTCTGGATGTAAGGACGTGGGATGTGTCCCCTTGGGTTTAGCTCCGAATGGACTCCGAAGGGTGCATTTGGGTAAGTCCTGTGGTTGTTCAGGAGTTAAACATGAATCGTTCGCTGCTGCCTGCCTGTCCTGCCCTGCCTGAGTTCCTCTGTATAATTTCATTTATATCAAGCTCCTAACAATGAGAAATAGGCTGGAGAATGGAATGGAGGATAGCGTGTGAGGTCCCAGCCACCCAGCCTCCTGGGCCCCCCTCCCGTGCCCTCTGGCTAAGCTCTGCCAGTGCTTACATTTAGCAAATTAGATCAACTGAGGCTCCTGGAAAGATAAATGACCCATAGGTGCTCAGGGGAGAGTAGCTAGCAGGATTTGGGGGTGGTGATAGGGGAGGGCCCCAGAAACTAGAGTCTCAGAACCCCCCTCCCCCCACCATCTTCAAAGCTGGTGCTCACTATAAAGTGCTCGGGCTTGTGCCAGCTTCTCCTCCAAACCAGGCAGTCTGGGAGGATTGCAACCGTGCCACGGGGTGAGTTACCAAGGAACACAGTAGGGAGGAGGGGAGGGAAGTGGCCAGGAGTCTTACTGCTGGAAGGACCTTTGGTGTCCTTCTGAGCCTGTGTTTCTCAAAGTGTAATCTGCTCACTCCCTGAAGCAGAATCGCCTGGGGCTTTGTGAAAAGACAGGCTCCTGCCCCCAAGCCTGGGCTGCGGGCCAAACTTCCTGAGTGTAACTGCACAGGGAATTACCGGGGGACTTGTTTACAGTGCAGAAGCTCTGGCCTACAGAATCTGAGTCTCCTCCATCTGTATTTTTAATACACTCTGTAGAATATTCTAATAGATAGCTCTGAGAGCTCTGATCCTTGAGGTCTCTGACCCATAGGTTTGGGACTTGCTGATAGAGGCAGACGGCATAGAGGTTAAGGGCATGGGGTCCAGAGTCTGCCAGACCTGGCTATCTAACTTCCCTGGGACTCAGTTTCCTCATCTATAAAATGGGACTCATGATGGTACCTTATAACACTGATGAAATGAAAATGATGATTGTATGCACAATGCCTGGCATATGGTTAACTCTCAAAAAATGGCATCTAAAAATGAAAACTAGACTAAATGCCTCCTTTGTCTTCTTATCTCCCAGCAGACTGATATCTTACTTCAGACAGGCCAAGCACACCTCAGGGAGAGTTTCTGGTGCCTGTTACTTAACTGGGAATATCTTTCTGATCCACTCTACAGGGCTGTTGTGACAGAGGCAGTGTGAGATTATGGTTAAGGTTGTGGGAACCAGACTGCTTAGGTTCTTACTACCTGTGTGACTTTGGGTCGGTTTATTATCCTCACCTAGCCCTAGTTTCTTATTTGTACAACAGGGATAACATTTGTAAAGATCAGAAATGTTGGTGTGAATAATAAAATACTCAGCACAGTGCCTGGACTATAGCAAAGCCTCTATATAGCCACCATGATTATTATTATTCACCATGCACCAATCTTTGACTTGATCTCTGTTCTATTTGGCCCAGAGGCTTGTTCAAATGATGCCTGGTCAACTACACTGGAACTTTCACTGGTTCCTGTGTGGAACTTTCCACTCACTGGGTATTATCTTCATAGCCACAAACTGATGCACACAAAACCATCATCTGATTTGCGGTCAAGCCCTCTGTTTCCAATGTTTGGAGCCATTGGGAGAAACTGAGGTGACGGGAGGGGCCTTGGTCAATTGAGATGAGAAGAAAGCTTGGGAACAGGATGCCCGCAGTGGCTCTGCCCTCTGCCCTTTCCTGCCTGGACTCAAGAGCGGATGTGACCCTTGCTCTTCACCCCACTCCCACCCCCAGCTGTTCAGGGGGCACCTTGGGTGTCCTGCTGTGGGGCTGGTCCAGGATTGCTGCGTCAGCCTGGGTGAGGCCGACGGGAAGTCATCAGGCTCCCTGGCACCGGAGTGAGGTCAGCCAGGGATGGATTCCAGGAAGGCTGCTGCTGATCAGAGGCTGGCTCTATCTCTCCCACAAGCATCGCAGGCTCTTCCCAAAGGGCAAAACCTGGGCAGGGCTTTGATGGGGTGGAGGCGGAGGTGGAAGCCAGGACAGCCAGAGAGAGGTCCTGCCAGTTTGGAGTGGCAAAGACTGACTTGGAGATACTTCAGCTTTTGAACATTCTGGAGAGAGGAGGGCCTGAGGTTTTGGAGCTCATGAAATGCTGCTGATGCCTCAGGACCTCTTGCTGAGCTCCTTCCTCCCCCAGAGTCCTGACAGAGTGCATTCTCTTGCTATAGTATTCATCTCACTGCATCAAGGATGGCAAATACCTGCTATGTGGGCCTCTACTCACCCTTCCATTGATTATTTGTGATAGTGATTGATAATAAGTCATGGCACTCTTTCTCCCCTTGTGGAGATAAAGCTCTCAGAAGCCTCATTGATGTAGCACTCCCAGGCAGCTGTGTCTAATCCATCAGTGTTAGAAGCGATGAAATCTTTTTGCGCTCTCTGTTATATACTCTAGTGATTTATTCCCATGTTCAGAATCTAAGCTCCGTGGGGGCAAGCACTTTGTCTGTCTTGTTCACTTTTCCATCCTCATCAACTAGTCTGATGCCTGGCACATAGCAGGAGCTCAGGAAATACTTGTGGAATGAATGACTGCCCTCCAGTGAGCTGTGAATTACTCAAGGACAGGGATTATATCCAAATCACATCTAGTACAGATTAAGGATTCATTGAGTGAGAGAATATAATGAATGAACACATGTCCTTATTCTGAGTTCAATCGTTGTTTCTCTAACCAAGAGAAAAGAGTAATCACATGTCCTTGGTTGTGGACATCACTTCACTAAAGAGTGGCCTTGTTGTGGCTAGTAGGAATGCCATCGGTAATGCCTCTAGCTTTGGTTTCTGTACACAAAAATTTAATCCATTTAATTATCTGGAGTCCTGTTAAAGTAGTAAATTATTTGCATTTACACATGGGGAAACTGAGGCTTGGAGTGATTTTATTTTTTTAAGAGGTTTGTTGAAGTCCATCTGACAGCTTAATGTTGGTGCTGAGACCAGAACTTGGGCCTCCTCACCCCTAGACCAGTGTTTCCTTTCCGGTCACCATACCATTTTTTTCTGAGTCTATAAAGTTTTGACTTTTGATTTGTCATATGCCATGTTTGAGTTTGAGAGGCTTTTGGGAATCCTGGTCTCACCATCCTTTCTATTATTAACTGTCCCAGGTGAGCCTTTTTGGAATCTTTGAGCTTTTTCATAATAAGCTTTTAAAACCTGAAATTGTGTGCCACCTTTCATATGCATGTGCATTTCTCTGGAGAGGAAGTCTAAGTTTGCATCAGATTCTCACCAGAAGTCATTATGCATGACCCATAATAAGGTTAAAAACCAGCGATCAAAACCAACATGTCATTTTGCATATGGGGAAACTGAGGCCTGAGCAAGAGACTTTTCCAGGACCATAATCTTTGACCAGAGATTCTGTTTCTCCCATTGACAGAGGACTGATTGTGGTGAGAAGTAACCTCAGCTACATCATCGAGCCCCTTCCTGGCAGTGAGGGCCACCACCTCATTTACAGATCTGAACATCTCAAGCTGCCCCTGGGGAACTGTGGGTTTGAGCACTACAAGTCCACCACCAGGGACTGGGTCCTTGAGTTTACGAACCAGACCAAGAAAAGACCTCGCAGGGTGAGTCTCAGTGCAAGAGTCAACCTGGGGGTAGGCTTGTCCCCTCTGAGAATCCTTACTTTGGATCCAGGGGTATTTCTAAATTAAAAGAGATGGCCAAGAAGGAGGAAATTACCTTTCTTTTATAGTCTAAGTTATTATCTTGTTCACTGCTGTGAGATACTCTTGTATTGGATGAGATAAATTGGATGGGAAAAACACTATGACATTTAAAATACCCTGAGATGCCGACTTCAGAAACTTTAAAATGTGAGAAAAGAATTTATGCCTCTCTTTTTGGAATAGCCACTTAACCATATGCACAAAATGCTTGTATTTATGTATACTGAAAATAGAGCTATGTGGTTTAAATGCTTTTTGGGAACTTGACTTTCAGCATGTTCCCTCACAGTATGTTGGCCTATGTACTAGCAAGCCCAGCTCATTACTTTTTGAATATAAAGGACTGGACTGATAGTCTCAGAGCAGCCCCAATGATAACCAAGATGGCAGGCAGAAGGTATAGTGACAGTAATGGCGACTGCAGCCAGAATGGCTCTAGTGCTGGGTGTAAAGTTAGTAACCAGCACTGCTTATTAACTAGCACTATTTCTTAGTAGTTTTTTTTTTTTCAATATATGAAATTTATTGTCAAATTGGTTTCCATACAACACCCAGTGCTCATCCCAAAAGGTGCCCTCCTCAATATCTTAGTAGTTTTTCGAAATGAGGAAACGCTCATCATTTCTACAGCTCTGATCTGCATATATCTCTTTCTTAGATGAAAAGGGAAGATTTACATTCCATGAAGTACGTGGAACTTTACCTTGTGGCTGATTATGCAGAGGTAAGGGGGAGACCAGGGTTTTTGTTTTTGTTTTTGTTTTTTTACAGAAAAGCACTCTTTTGATAGCTTCAATTCCAGGCTTCAAACCACTTTGGGGGAAATGCTGAAACATTGATCTTTTCCCAGTTTGTCATGTGATTTTGGCCTTAAATCTGACCAAGGGCTGTTTTTGCTATTTTGAACAGTTGGGGGACTGGGGGGAAACAAGGAAAAATCTCTTCTGGCTCCATACATTAATCAGATAGAAAATCAGGCAACTAGTGTTATTTAGATGAACATTTCTTAAACTGAGTCTGAAGATCTTTAGGTTTTGGTGCTTAATCTTAGGGAGTCCATAAATTCTCTATAGAAATTTAAAAAAAATTTTTTTTTTTTTTTGCAAAGACAAAAAGTGTATTTGCAATCATCTGATTGAATATAATTTTCCAGCCCATGTGTGGGTCCATTTTTGTAATCGTGTTCGTGCCAAATGAGAACCATGGTTCCCAAAGCATCAGCGGCACCTGGGAACTTGTGAGGTGCTAATTCTTGGGCCCCACCCCAGACCTGCTGAGTCCTAATCTATGGGACTGGGGTCCAGGAATCCAATGTTTTAACAAGCCCTCTGGGTGACTCTGTACACAGGCAAGTTTGAGAACTACTGACCTAAGGAAAAGCTGTCTGCCTAATCCTATATTTCTCAAATCACGCCAGGTTTTCATGGGCCTTGGCTTCTAAGATTTGGTGAACACTTGTCTCTCTCACTCTTTCATTTCATTTGTTCATCAGCGATATCATGATTTTCTCTTATATGTCAAGCACAGTGCTTGGCCCCAGGAGATTAAGACAGACCTGCCCCTGACATCAGAGTTTATGGTAGGAGCACAAGAACTCTATAGTTTCAAGTGTGGTAACTGCCAGGATCGGTCTTTGTAGAGGATCAGAGCCAAGATAATGAGAAGTGCCCCATGGTTTGGGAATTGGGGTAAGCTCCCACGTGGTGATGTTGAAGCTGACACCTGAAGAATGGGTTCAGGTTTTAGAACCCATATTTGCCTAAATTCGTCATATTTCATCCCCAGTTCTCAGTTCATGTAGTGACTCACCCACAACTAAGCACATCTGGGTATGGAAAGGCACGACGAGCTGAGTACTCCCCATGTTCTAACACTGCCGCCTTGCCTGGGGATCCCCCAGAGCTCTGTCTGTCTCATTCCCCATCCAGATGGTGCAGTTAGCAGCTCCCCGGAAAGAACTCATCCCAAGGTGGCTTTACCTAGTCCATAATCCCAGAGCACAGATTGTGGAGCAGTGCAGGTTATGGGAAGAACACTAGGCTCCAGGCCTGAAGAGCCACCTTCAAGAGTATTAGTGGCAGGAGCAGGTGGCCTTGCGCTGCCTTAAAGGACAAGGAGTTGTTAACGGGGCAGACAAGTGGAAGTGAAGGGCATTCCAGGCCAAGGGGACATCATGTTCTGCTTTGAGAAGAATTTAGCTTTGTAACTGATGTCAGTGTTGGTTTCTCCAGCAGCCTTTCCTTTTTTTTTTTTTTTTTCTTTTCTTTTTGTTTTCCTTTCCAAAGACTGGTGTATGTGTAGGGTAGGAGAGCAGTGTGGGGAGAAAAATCTAAAGCTGATTTAAAAACTGAGGCTCCGCCGTCATGGGGAGAGGTAACAGATGCTGGCTCCTTCCCAGCAGGACTGCCTTATAGTGAGAGGGCTGCTGGAAAAGAGCTGAGTTCCTGACTCCAGGACATTTTTCCATTTAAGCTTTTATTAGATGATCTGAGATCATCTAATACAGTGGTCTTGAAACTTTTTTTTTTTTTTTTTAGCCACAGAATCTTTTGTTCAGATGAAAGCTCCTGGTACCCTGCTGCTCTAATGTAAAGGCGGGGTGATCCTCCCCTCTGGCCCTGCACTCGCCACAGTGGAATCTTGCTTCAGGGTTCTAAAACCTACTAGGTGCGAAACTCTGGAAGCTGAAGAAGTGGGTGTGGGGTAGGTATTGGGTGGGCACCTTTAGTCTCCTGACCTTCAGGGTCACAGCGAACCCCCAAGAGGAAAAGTGGCTCCCAAGGTGCATCTAGGACTGGGGTGTGGTCTAGAGCCATCTTCCTGTTCCAGAGTAGAGAGCCTCCAGCACCAGCCTCATAGGCATTGATGATAGGCGGTGATTCGTGCAGCCTGTGGATCAGGAATATGCTCATTTCTCAGCGTCCTGGGCTTTGAATGATTCACTGGAGTGGGACGTAATCAGCCAGGCTGGGCTCACAGGCTCACAAACCCCCCGCCTCCCCACACCACTCCTTCCTGACTCCCTTTTCAAGTGATCTCTCACCCTCTGCAGGCAGAAATGTATCCCTGACAATTAATTAATCTGAGAGGTTGGGAAGACAAGGCAGGGCAGGGCTGCCTTATCTGTGATTTACAACCTGATGCTGAGACAGGCCAGGCTCCTTCTCTGGGCTCTGAACTCAGTGCAGGGAGCAGAGCCGCAGAGAGAGAGAGTTGTTGCAGTAAAAATGACCAGGCAGCTGCTCACTACCTGGGCCTAGGTGGGAGGGCCTGGGGTGGTTCTCTGTTTATTCAGTCCTCAAGTGAAATGGGAAATCTAGGCGGGGAAAGTGCAAGATAGGATGTTGCAAGATGATGCAGGATAGTTGTAAAAACAGGCATGCAAAGTGCTTTCATATTCTGGTCAGAATGTGGGGTAGTTGGGAAAGGCCAGGTGATGACCTTGTTTTACTTCCTGTGTCACCCTAGAAAGTTTTGAGATATTTCTTTCTTTAGATCAGGGGTCCGCAAATTATAGCCTATTGCCAAAACCAGCCCACCACATATTTTTGTAAATAGAGTTCTACTGGAGCAAATGCTCCCTGCTGTGTGTATTGTCCATGGCTGCTTTTGAACTGCAGTGGCACAGTGGAGTAGTTGAGATGACACAATGTGTCTTGCAATGCCTCAAATATTTACAATCTGGCCATTTGCAAAAAGTTTGCTACTCCTGCTTGAGACTCTTAGACAACATGGTACATTACTTAAACTACCGTGGTAACATCAGGCAGCTGTTTGAAGATAGGATTAGTATATTTGAATATTAATATATGTGAAAAACAATGAAATCTGATGTTCTAATAAATATTCGGTAAATGCTACAACACTTTCTCTGCAGGAAGACCAATTTAGAAATGGGAAGACTCCATAAAGAGAAACTTCAGGATTCACAAGTCATAGGTCCAAGTCATGGGGCTTTGCATTAAATTTATCTCTGTAGAAGGCAACGGTGAGGTGAGATGGTGAGATGATTGACTGTTCTGATGAGTAACAGTCCTAAGGAAGCCCAGGAAAGTCCAAAAGCAGTGGGAGAATAAGAAATGGTGGGTTTCTCCCCTGTATCATGGCTGGGACACACGCCCGTGCCAACAAATACCCCAGAGTGTTTTATTTGGCTGTTCTTTGTGTTTTTTGCTTGGATATTTTTGCAGGATGGGGTGGAGGAAGGATGTGAAGGGTTGGAATTGAAGTAACGTATATAAGTGTGTATATAAGATAAATCACATAGGTTTTTATACAACAATAGCAGTGTACAGGACATGCCCATAATTTGCAAATTTAGGTTGCAATTGTAGCAAATTTTATCTTTACATTGTGAAGCTTTCCTTCATCATTGCAGCTGAAAGAGATCTATCCCATTCAGGCAGGAAAGATAAATGTGAGGCTATACACTGAAATGTCTCCCTCCTGGTACCCATGGCAGACATTTATAATCGAGCACAGCACTCTTTCCTACTGAACCCCATGCAGTCTCAGAATTTTTGTAGAAAGACACTGCCATCAGTCTGAGTGGCATGCCAGATGAAGCCTGTTTTCCAAGGGCTTATAGTCCTGGTTGCCAGCACCCATGTGTGTCGTTCATGTGGCCTCATGCAGTATATATGTGCCCATTTTAATTGTGTACTCCTTAAATACAGAATCTGCCATTGTTGTTATTTCTGGCTCTCTTTCTGTTTTAATTTAAGGTCCTCTAGACCAGTACCAGGATCTCACACACTGTGTCCTACCTCGTCCCAAACACAATGCCTTGTCATCAAAGACATTCAGCAGCTATTTGATCAGTGTTGATTGATCACATGTAGGGAGTCCTCATGAGATCCCTGTGATGGTGGCTTCATGTTGGGGTGATGACCAAAGCAAGGATCAGATTGGTCCCACTTCTAAGCCCCAGTGAGAGTTTGCAGGAGACCTGGTAATTTGGAGGACAGAAGAACAGATTTGATTTCAAGGGCTGGAGGAAGATAATTCAGTTCACTACACAACTATTACATGCCTACTGTGTGCCTGGCACTGAACTGATAGTTGGGGATACCAAGATGAATGTGACCCAGGTTCTACCATCCCTGAGCTGAAATTGTATGTAGGGGCAGGGAGGAGGAAGTCATATAAAAATAACTGCTCATAGAAGACTGGAGAAAATAAAAGCTAATTGAAAGACAAGAAATGGGGCACAGGAAGGGGTCCTGGGGTCTCACCTAGCTCTGCTTATTCCATTTAGTTTCAGAAGAATCGCCGAGACCAGGATGCCACCAAACACAAGCTCATGGAGATCGCCAATTACGTTGATAAGGTGAGACCAGGTGTGTACTTTGTGGGAAAGGTGCCAGCACCTTAAAGGTGCTGCAGGGTAGGAGATCACACGGCTCCTGAGCTTGCCTCGTGGATTGGTCACCCAGCCAGTTTCTGAGAGGCAATAGCAATGGTATAGAGGCTCAGGGTGGTCATGACAAAGCCCTCAACTATGTGACCTTAGCCAGGTAACTTACCTTCTTTGGTTTGCAGTTTTGTTTTGTTATGTTTTTAATTTACAAAGTAGAGGGCATGGCTTAAACCAATGGCCTGCAATTATTTTTGTTTTTCTGGTGGAATCCTTCTTTTAAATGAAATCTTAGGACGATGTCTAATATAAAAATCAGACGAAAACAGACTGCTCTAAACCAAAGCAAGGGTGAGGATCTGAAGTGATGTCCTCTTGCTTCTTCCCCTCACCCCTGCAATGGTTGCTGGGTAACCTAGTTTAAGAATGCTTTAAGGTTCAAAAAAAAAAAAAAAAAGACTGCTTTAAGGTTCTCTGAGGTTCCTTCCAGGTATAAAGCCCAGAAATTTTCTGACTTAGGGGAGAATTGAGGTAGGTCAGCATGGGAAAAGTACAAGGCCTTAAAAGTTGAGTGGGTTGTTTTGGGCAATCTGTATAGTCTCCATCTGTAAAATGATTCTAAAATTATTTGTCTCTTAGAAAGTCTTTGTGAATGGTTAACTTTCCTTGATCAGGCCCTTTTAAACATGTCCTTAGGAAATACCCAAATTCTTGAATTTTCCTAGAGCAGGCTGGTCGGGGACTTGGAAATACTTTATGTGAAACTGCAAACTGCAGTGGAAAAGATAAACCTCTTGATAGGCTAGTAGTAAATAGTTTTTAAAAGTAGATTTTAATATGTTTGGGGTCACAGGTCTCTCGAGAATCTGAAAACATTTATTGTATGGTTTCAGGGCACTCATAGCACTTCTGAAGCTTAATTCTGGGCCTGTTAGGGATTCATGGATCCCAAGTCTACAGGGGAAATTATTATTATTATTTTTTTGGCCACTAATAGATAAAGAAGATAGCTTAAATTTTTTTTATGGATTTTCAAGCAAATTTGCTAGTGTTCTGAAGTCATCAGGTGAGAGGGTCTGGGGTCTGTGTTTTTGTTTTGGCCTAGATGGCTCCGAAAACACTGGTCAGTGACAGGTGAAAGTCAAACATCAGCATTTCCTGGAAGGAAGGACTCCAGGGACACAGTTCAGTCCTCTTTCTAGCTCTTAATTCACTCAACAATAACATTCAAATGATTCTACATCCCAAACACTCAACATCTGGGAAAACAAGAAAAGCTTGTTTCCTGGGGGGGATACCAAGGAGGCAGATCCTGCCATCACTCACGTGACATCTATTGTTCTGGAGACTCAGCAGGTGGGAGGCCTGGCTGGGTCTCCCCTTCGTGGACTCTCCAGCTGGTCTGGGTGGTAGAACCAGGAGTGCAGATGAAAAGTGGAAAAGAGGGGACGCCAAGCCCCAGCCCTTACTCAAAGCCCCTAGCCTTGCTAGCTGGTCCCTTCTGTTGAACACTCTTGGTTTTCTCCTCAGCAGCTGACTTTAGTCACTCCAACTGGGGTGAGGGAAGGCAAATCCACTTCTCTGAGGCTTGCTGACCCAGCTACTTGAACTGAACTGTTGTTGAACTAAAACTGGAATGAATCACACTAATTTGCTGAATCATGAACCCAGTCCAAAATGTTTTTTCCTTAACTGTGAAAAAGCCAAGTTTAAGTCCTTAAAAGCTCCCTCATGAAGCAAGTTCAAATTGGAATCCAAACCCTTTGTTTTCTGTAATGATCGACCTGGCACAAAACTGGAAAATCAAAATTTTCTTTGAAATCTACTGATATTTCACTGAATCTGGAGCCCATCTTACAGCACAACTTCCAGCGGGGGGGCAAGATGATTCTCTGGATGTGTTAATATGCCAGCACTTAACCAGTGAGGGTCTTGAGTGACTCTGAGACCTGATCTGATAACCTGGGCCTTAATCCTGGCTCCACCGTCCTCCCTCCGAGACTTTGGGCACGTTACTGACTTTTTCTAAGCTTCTGTGCTTGGTACATAGAATGTGCTTGATAAACATTGGTGTTAGGATTGTTTTTAGTTGCTGCAGCCCCCGCGGGTTTTGGATTAAGATAGTATCTTCTGTTCATGTGATCCGGGTTTACATGCGTTGTTGTTTTTTTTTTCAAAGTTACTGCCTCAAGTGATCTCTAGCGTAGGCCAAAGAATCCCTTGAACATACGCCTTCCAGTAGTGCTTAGCTTTAAAGAAAACCCTCTTCCTGTTTACGTACGTGAGATGAAAGACACTGTGTCACAAAGGTAAGGTGTAGCTCTAATCTGAAGGATCCTGAGAGTCAGGTGTCATTTATAGACTCTTAGGCTCTCTGGGTTGGTCAGAACTCTGAAGGTTATCTGGACCTTTGCGGACCAATGCTGGCAACCTGTTTGTGGTATTGTTGACAAAGCCTGAACACCTCCAGTGATGGGAAAGGAAACTTTTGAGAATAAGCGTTCTCTCTCTACTTGTATATCATTTACACGCATTCACTTCCAAAAGGAGTGGGAGACATCACACAATAATCCATATACAATTTGGCATATCCATACAGCGAAATACTATTTAGCAATTTAAAAGAATGATAAACTGATACAGGCCATGAGATGGATGAATCTCAAAAACATGCTAAGCGAAAAGAAGCCGCAGACACAAAAGACCACATATTCTGTAATTCTATTTATAGGAAATGTCTAGAAAAGGTAGATCTATAGAGACAGAAAATAGATTTGTGATTGTTTGGTTCTGAGGGTGAAAATGGGAAATTACTATAAATAGACATGAGGGGCCTTATTGGTATGATGAAAATACTCTCAAATTGGATTATGGTGATCACTTTACTTCTTGGTAAATAAACTAAAAATATTGAGCTGTATACCCCCAAATGGGTGGATTTGATGGAATTTAAATTATACCTCAGCATACAAGAGGAATTTGGTATGAGAGAACTTTCTAGACACGTATAAAACAGGTAAGTACCATGTAAGGAATTGGGGGAGATGACTCCCAGGCAGCTGGACCATAGGTGCTTATTTACAGACAATGGCAGAGCTTAGCTCTGAGCTTACTCATGACTAACTTCATTTAAAAGCTTTTTTCCTATTTTAAAATGAAAGGGGTCTTACGTGTTTTACCTACTGGATGAGCCCCACTGTAGGATTGAGTGAAACAGCGCTGATCCTATCTGTGCGTGAAAGCCCTGTACATGTTTGAAAGCAAGTCTGTGTCCTGTCCTGTCTCTAAGCTAAGTCACCCCAGCTCTGCCACCAGAATGTTGCACATTGTGCTCAGAATCTCACCGATCCTTCCTGAAAAAATGTGAATAGCCACACCTGTTGCCTCCCTGTCCTTAGAGGAATGTGCAGAAGAGGAATCTGGTATCTGAGTGCTTAGGCTAGGAAGGGGCTTATAAATCTCAGGTGGTGCTGACGGAGGAGGCTGTGGCTTTTCTGTGTGTGCTTTCAGTTTTACCGATCCTTGAACATCCGGATTGCCCTTGTGGGCTTGGAAGTATGGACTCATGGGAATATGTGTGAAGTTTCGGAGAACCCCTACTCTACTCTCTGGTCATTTCTCAGTTGGAGGCGCAAGCTGCTCACCCAGAAGAACCACGACAATGCACAGTTAATCACGTGAGTAGCCCTTTTCCATATAGGTTGCCTCAGCCCCAGCTGCACCCCCCTGCCTTCGGGGTGTGTGTGTGTGTGTGTGTGTGTGTGTATGCTGTCTGCCCTCCCCCTCCCCCCAGTGCTGAGTACTGGGAGTACTGGCCATTTTGCGTCTCTGGTCCAAATAATTACTTATTTCTCAGACCTGTGCTCTGCCCCCAGCACACCCAGCAAAATATTAAAACCCTGAGAGGCATAACAACCCCAAGAAGTGTTTACAATCTAGATGAAAAAAATTAGATTTACACATATTCAGTTGAACATCAGAACCGATTGGGTGTGTATTTGGGAGGTGACTGACTCTCATTGGCTGCTCTCAAACAGACTTTCTAAGGGGCTCCCTGTGGTCTTCTTGGTGCTTTGTTTCTGTACGCATACTAATCTCCCAAAGCAGTAGCAGGAGGGAGCCTTCCTTAGGTCATCCTACACTTTGTTCCCAGGGGCCCAGGGCTGACAGCCTGAACTCATGCAAGTGGCAGACAGTGCAGGAGCTGTGCGATTGGTGGGAGGGAGACATTGGGGTGGGGTGGGGGAGTTGTGTCGGAATATCTTCAATCCCCGAAAGAATAGACCCTGTACAGGGGTCGTGGTGATACCTGATGTCCCCCAGGGGGTGATTATCCAGTATTTTTAGTGTTGGCATCCAAAGGTATTCTGACACCATTATAACAAAAGGCACATACATAATAAAACTATTTTCCTTTTGTTCCCTAAAAAATCTCTCTGAATCAACAATCATTTAAACATTTGTTCACTCTTTAAAAGAAATGGAGAAATAACTACCAAAAATCTGGACTCTGGTTATTCACAATGATACATTCACCTAGGAAGTTTTTGGGTTTTGCCTGAATTTTGGAAGCCTGATGTCCTGCTTTGGGAAAGATCTTGAATCCAGTAGGACTTCCTTAGAGCTATGTCTAAGTTTATAAAATAACCTGTGGGGCTTCATATCAATTTGCATGTATTTTATGTATTCTTTTCTTATAATCTTTTTAATTTTTAATTTTTTTAAGTTTATTTATTTATTGTAAGAGAGAGACAGAAAGAAGGAGAGAGAGAGGGAGACAGAGGATTCAAAGCAGGCTTTGCTCTGACAGCAGAGAGCCCAATGTGGGGCTTGAACTCACAAACAGTGAGGTCATGACCTGAGCTGAAATGGGATGCTCAACTGACTGAGCCACCGAGGCACCCCTCTTTAATTTTGCTTAATGTGTATTTATTTTGAGAGAGTGGCGGGAGGGGTAGAGAGAGGGAGAGAGAGAATCCCAAGCAGGCTTCATGCTGGCAGCTCAAAGCCCAAGTTGGGGCTCGATCCCACAAACCATGGGATCATGACCTGAGCCAAGACCAAGAGTGGGATGCTCAACCAACTGAGACACCCAGGCACCCCTATTTTATGTATTCTTTTGCAGATTGTTTCTCTGAAGAAGAATTTGGCTTCAATACAGCAGACATTTATTAAGTACACCCTATGTGTCAGATTCTGTGCTAAGTTCTGGTGACCCCAAAATAAATAAGGCCATCTTGGCTCTCAAAGATATCATGGTCTAGATGAGAAGACAAACATGACAATATGAAAGTACCACATAATGAATTTCTCTGTAGACCTTTAAATAAATTACATATTTATAGCATGCATGAGAATACCAGTGTTTTATTCATCCCTTCTCCCCTGCCCTGGATGGATACAGCCGAGAGAGGGATGTATTGAACTGGGGGAATGTAGCTGGCTGTTGGAAGATTAGGATCACAAATTGCAAAACAAAGGCAGAAACAGCTCATCTTTGCACCCAGCTGCACTTTGTGAGGCTCCTGATGGGACACATCTGTTTCCTTGGCTCGAAGTGATGTGGAAATGAAGCATCAGCCCCCACAGCTGCTGCCCAATCCCCCCACCCTACCCCCATATGCATACCACAGAGCCGGGGATATGGCACAGGACCTGGCAGCTGGCGGAAGTGGTCATGAGTCACTTCAGCATCAGAACCTGTGCCACTCTTCCCTCAACCCCTCCCTCTGACCTTTTCCTCTGCAGCAGGAATGGGATGCAGCTTTACAAGACCTGCCCATTTCCTTCCAGGGAATGGGGCTCTGGGCATATTTGTGGGAAAAGGGGACCTTTTGCTCTTTCCACTTCTCTGGAGCAGTAAGAGAATAGGTGAGAGGAAGTGAGAGGTGTGGTGACCTGGAAGTTGTCCAGTTGGCTTAGAATACCAGGATCTCTCTCCTTGGGAGTGATCTGGAGATGTCAGCAGGGCCAAGGAACAACCGTGATGGCCACCTGCTCCTGGGCACAGTGGAACAGCCCTCTCAACTCCCATCTGAATGGCCTTCTCTTGTTCCCTCGTCCAGGGGTATGTCCTTCCACGGCACCACCATTGGGCTGGCCCCCCTCATGGCCATGTGCTCTGTGTACCAGTCTGGAGGAGTCAACATGGTGAGTTGATCAGCCAATATATTGATGCTGCAGAAGGCAGAAAACTGCCTCATAGGATAGGAGGTCATCTTGTGAAAAAAAATTTATGTTTATTATTTCAGGAAAAACAGTTGATCAAGTAGAGCAGTTACTTAAAAAATTTTTTTAATGTTTTATTTATTTTTGAGAGAAAGAGAGAGACAAACTATGAGCAGGGGAGGGGGAGAGAGAGACACAACAGAATCCGAAACAGGCTCCAGGCTCTGAGCTGTCAGCATAGAGCCTGACACAGGACTCAAACTCATGAACTGTGAGATCATGACCTGAGCCAAAGTCGGATGCTTAACTGACTGAGCCACCTAGGTGCCCCTAGTAAGGCAATTGTTTAAAGTGAAGTCATTAAGTTCTAAGAGATGGAGGTACCCAAGGATGAATTTTCATTTACTTATTTTTTTTAGTCAATTTTTTATTAGAGTGAGAGTGGGGTGTGAGTGGTGGAAGGGAACAGAGGGAGAGAGAGAACCCCAAGCAGGCTCCACACTGTCAGCAGAGCCTGCATGAGGCTTGATCTCACAACCCTGAGATCATAACCTCAGGTGAAATCAAGGGTCAGATGTTTAACCAACTGAGCCACCTTGTGCCCCTGAATTTTCATTTATTATACTTTATCCCCAATTTTCAAACTCAAGAAAACCCTGTAAGTGATTATGTTACATCTAGTGATGTCACTAGATCCCTCATGTGTTCCAAACCAGGGGCTGGAGAATAGTAAGATAATAGAGATAAATACTATTTATCCTAGGTCTTGTGTTTTTATGCATATCATTATGAAACAAGAGCTTGTCTCAAAGTCCTGGTTAGGAAATTACTGCCTTCTTTTGAAATTCCCTCTGGCTTTGTGGGACTGTTTTGAATATTCATTTCTAACCTGTGGGGAGTTTGTCCACCCATCTGTTTGTCCACCCCTTTATCCATCCCGTATTTATACACAGATGTAGCATGACAGTTAAAAGCACAGGCTTTCATAACCAAGCTTGTATGTGCTGATCGTGGCATCAGTGGAGAGCTTTGAGGCCCGGCTAAGAAAAGACAGGAATAGGGAGTAAGGAGAGCTGTCTTCTTGACCTGAACTCTCCCCTTGGGCAGGACCACTCTGAGAATGCCATTGGCGTGGCTGCCACCATGGCCCACGAGATGGGCCACAACTTCGGCATGAGCCATGATTCTGCGGATTGCTGCTCGGCCAGCGCAGCTGATGGCGGGTGCATCATGGCAGCTGCCACTGGGTGAGTCAAGCAGCAAGGTGAGGAGAGCAAGAGCGTGTGAGGATGGTACAACCCAAGTGTTCCTCCCAGTTGGCCCTAAGAGCCTCTGTTATACCTCTTGTGGGGGCCTTGGAGAGAAGTGCGGTTGACAACAAAGAACTTGGAAGAGAACCAGGAAAGTAAATGTGTGCAAGGAGCACTAGGTCTATAGCAGGTGATTTGGTCCCGGTGAAACCCTAGACAGACTTCATTTCTGTCTTAGGGTCTTTAGCTGTAAAATTGGCTTGACCACATGTGTCTTTTTCACTTCATGAATTTTTGAAGAGGACCCATTTTGAACAGCCCCAAAACTTAAATCCCTCTGTCCCAAGGGAATTTGGGCAGTGGTGACTGAAAGTTCTGAGGTAGCCTCCACAACAAGAGAAAGGAAGGGGAGCATCCATGCCCACATAATGACTCCTCAGGGAATTTACAGACTGCATGTACCATGAGGAAGAAGAACAAGCCAGTTCTGTCTCCCTGTATTTTACAGTGAAGGATTTTTTTAACCCGAGCCTTTGAGAGAGAATTCTGGTAGCAGCCACAACTCTTAGTCACAACTCTTAATATTTAGTATCTGGGCTCATACAGTGGAGAGCACTGGGTTCTTCTAAGACCTGAGTCACTCTTTGGAAGGCATCATGTTGGGAGTTTGTGTTCCCTGTACCCCAAACCATTAGAGTCTGCTTGTGCTTCTTAGAGAACGGTGTTTCAGTGTCTCCAAGAGGAAATGCAGTTTTCTTGGAGTTTCATTGCCAGTGTTTGTCCGTCACTTCTTAGCTGTGACATACAAAGGATGATGTTGACATGCAGGATGCAACTCCATGGGTCATGCTCAAATCCCTAAGAGCTCATGGTTAAGTTTATCCCTTTCTCAATCTAAAAAGCATATTTGTAGTCATATGGTTGAGAGTTGTATTAATTATGACTCTAATTCATTTTTAAACTATATGCAAATATACTACTAAAGTAGTTTAAAAACTACTAAAGTAGTTTAAAAACTGTTGGCAACAAATTCCTTGTGACACAGCTGACAACTGAAGGGGACCCTCCACTGTTTAACTTTTAATTGGTTTGGAGAATTAGATAACTCTTCCTTTAGACTCACATTGCGGTACTGACCTGCCACTAGAGAATATATGACTTCTGATTCTTTTTTTCCAATAGCAGGACTCAGAACCTTTCATGATCTTGTGATAAAAACTATCCATTTGTGAACTGGCTGGTTGAGTTTGGAGTGTTGCCCTGCATCCTTAGAATAGAGGTCATCAGATCACTGACCTAATGAAGAAATCTAACCCATGATCTTGGCCTTTTTTGGTTTGGTCTTCTGTCCCAAGAAAATCTCCGTTTAATATCAGCTTGAGGAAAAATTTGAGTTGGCTAGTATTTTATTCAGCTCTAAGGCTCAGACCTATTGTGACATATTCATAACCCTTTATTTATTTCAACCCCTTCCTACAAAGGGCAGAAATCGCTGCTTCTGATTCTCAAATACCTCCTGCATGCACAGTGAGGGGGAAAAAAAAGAACATTATGGGGTGGTTAATATTTCTTAATGCTTAGAAAAAATTGTAAGATAATGTATCAGTGATGTTCTGAGGGAACAGAATGCATGTAGGGGACTATAGGGGTCTGAGTCTAGGTGGAATCAGCCTTATGGGCAGCAGGATTAACACTGTTCTGGCTGCTTGATGCCCAGATTCCCAACTAACTCCACCCTTATTCTCTGCCAGGCACCCCTTTCCAAGAGTGTTCAATAGATGCAACAGGAAGGAGCTGGACAGGTATCTACAGTCAGGCGGTGGGATGTGTCTCTCCAATATGCCAGACACCAGGACGCTGTATGGAGGCCGGAGGTGTGGGAATGGGTACCTGGAAGATGGGGAAGAATGTGACTGTGGGGAGGAAGAGGTAAGGTGTCTTTGTAGTGCTAGTGGGAAGGGAAGAATGTGCATTGGTTTTAAATCTTAAAGTCAAAGAGAATGCAACTGAACACTTCTTAGTCATAGGCATCTCCCACATACACATGGCTATCAAAGACCCCATCACAAATAAGATGTGGAGAGTAAGCTTTCAATAGGGACCATTTATGTAGACTCTCTCAGTTTGAGGTTGGCACTGTTGGTGTCCAAGTCAGGGTGGAGTTCTTCCTGTGAGAGTGTGGTCTAACCAAAACCCATAATCTCCCCAGTAGAGTTACAGATGGCCTCCTTAGTCCTCCAGCTGCACTGAATTTCTTCTGGAGACCACATAGCTGGATATATGAACTTGAACCTGGGCCTTGAGGTTGCTTAAAATAACAAGCTTGCACTTGCTAAATGCTCATTATGTACTGCATATCCTGAAGAAGAGGTAATTGAAAGGAGATGTAGGAAGTACCGTTCGGTCTGGGAAGGGCTGCTAGGAGGAAGAAGGAACAGAACTGTTTGTGTATGGGCTCTTTCCTTCCTTCTGATCTTCCAGATGAGTCGGGGGCATGCAGCATAGCTCTATCATTTTTGGCAGATGTGTGTTGTTCTGCAAAAAGCAGAACTGGATAGTTTCATGTCTATTTTCTGAAGGATGAAATATGTACGTTAACATATGCAAAACAGTAAAGTGTGGAGGGGAGACTGAGGGTGTGTGTAAGACTATTTGATTTTATAGCCTTCTCTGTGGTTTGATTTTTGTTCTTAACGTCAGCACGTAACTTTCATAATAAATCAAGAATTAGTTAAAGGCTCTGCCACTCTCACCACCATAGTTCAAAGAGATCAGTTCAGACCCATCAGAAAGGAGGGAGTTGCCCCTCTCCATCATCATGGAGGGTGTAGTGGGGTTGAGGAACAGTCCATGAGTGTGCTCAGCCACTTGGCTTATGTTCAGAGCAGCTGCTTATTCAGCAAATATTTACTGAGTGTGGGATCCTATGTTGGGTGCTAGGGATAGGATGGATAGCAAAAATAGATGTGGTTCCTGTCCTTGTGGAACACATCGTCTATTGGAGGAAACACACACTGACCAAATAATTGCGAAAGTGTATGAGTACAATCCGTGCTAAAGGCTTAGGAGGGCCAATGCCATTGCGCTGTGAGCACTTGCAGTATGAGAGGAGCTGCCCTACTCAGGTAGGAGTGTGACTTCTGACTCCATATCTGAAGGCCCAGTTAGGAGTTACTAAGGAGCACAAGGGGAGAAGGCACATTTCAGCTAGAGGAGGAAGCATGCCCTGAAGCGGGAGAAGCACAGTCTGCCTGGGGCCCAGGATGGGAAGATATTAATGGAAGGAAAGTGTCCTTATTCCTTCTCCTAGGGAAACAAGCAGATGAGCATCATAGTCAGGCATGGGATGCATGTCTCTGACATGCTACACCTGGACCATTATGGTTATGATATGGTTCATAAACATGGGACAAGCCCCAGGCAGACATGGCTTGAATTCAGCTTCAGCACTTGTGCCCTGACCAGCCATAGGACCTGTCTGAGCTGCATTTCCCCGTCTATGAATTGGGAGCAATTCTGCCTCACAAGGCTGTGATGGACCTGTGCATATGGAGCCTGGCACATTGTCAAGAAATGGTTTAGAATAGGCCTGTGAACATAGTAGGAGTGGGATAAGGACACTTAGAGTCATTGGGGTGTCTCATCATCTTTTTAAGTCTCATGTTATACATCAGCAAATCAGGACCCATAAGGCAAGAAGGAAGAGAGGAGAACATGGAGCCCCTGGAGACCTTCTTTCCCAGAAAGGTCTGGGCCAGTGCGGGTTGAGGAAGAGCTGCAGATAGTGAGAGAAGTCTGAGGAAGCAGGCCCTAGGACTGACATAAACTGTGTTCGGAAGTTGTTCCCGCATGCCCTTGCTTTTGATGGCCATTTTTTAAATGAGATTAAAGCCCCTGGGAATGTGTGGGGACACAGAGGGCAGCAATAGAAGACAGGGTCTCTGACTGTTCTATTGGGGATGAGAAAAATCTCAGTATTCCTATGTAGTATAAGTTTATGCTACAAATCATGTTTTTGAAGATTATAGGATTTCAGGAAGAAATGTACATATTGTATTACATTAAAAAGCAGTATGGATACTAGGATTTTGCAAAATAAGTACATATCTATATATGTGAAAGGGGAAAGGCCTGGGTAAATATTCACACTCAAAATGTAGTTGTGTCTGAGTTGTGATGTTATTGATGATTATGCATTTGCGTATTTTCTGTGATCAGTATACGTTGCCTTCATGATAAACTTATAAAGTGAAATTATTGGTAAAGACTTTCTGGGGAGCTTGGGCCCCAGGGGCATATGGGGGAGGGGTGAGGAAATGTGGGAGGTGGGTGAGAGGCCTCACCGCACCCTGACCCCTGTCTCCCTGCCCTGCTGCCCCCGAGGCTCACGGCCACTCCCCCTTGCCTCCTTAGGAATGTAACAACCCTTGCTGCAATGCCTCTAATTGCACCCTGAGAGAAGGCGCGGAGTGTGCCCACGGTGCCTGCTGTCACCAGTGTAAGGTAGGAGGCCCTCCCCACTGCCCCCTGCCCGGGGTTCTGACCGGACAGCCCAGTGCTCTGCTGGGAGCTGGTGGCCAGAATTCAGCCTCCATGGTGGGGAAGTGATGGCATCAAAGTTTCAGAAACATGGAGCTGGGATGCCACTTGGTCCAAGTTTACCATTTCGTGTGCCATGCCTCACTGGGTTCAAATCAGCTCAGAGGGCTGTACCACCTGGAAGATGGGAGATTTTTCTTCAAAAAATAAGTGTCCAGGGGTGCCTGGGTGATTCGGTTGGTTAAGTGTCTGACCCTTGATTTCAGCTCAGGTCATGATCTCTCAGTTGGTGAGATCGAGCCCTGGCTCAAGCTCTGCACTGGCAGTGTGGAGCCTGCTTGGGATTGTCTATCTCCCTCTCTCTCTCTCTGCCTCTCTCTCTCAAAATAAATAAACTTAAGAAAAAAGACATACTTAAAGTGAATATTTATAATGTCGCAGAAATATTAATGTGTTTGGTTATAAAGTATAACTCCAGGCCCTGCTGGGGGTTATATAATATACATATGTAATGAAAGCATGTATATACATATACATACCTGTGTATGTACATATGTGTTATGTCTGCTTTCTGAAATCTGAGGAGTCTGAGCCCATCTGGCCCCAAAGTTTTGGCTAGGAATTGTGGACTTAATGTTTCCACTTACCACTTGCTAAGTGCTCATTATGTGCTAGATGCTGTTCAAGTGCTCTATTTGAATGCATTCATTCTAACAATCCCATGAGAAAGTTATTATCCCCATTTACTCTGTCCTAGCCCAGAGAGGTTAAGTAGCTGCCCCAGGTCCCACTGCTGATTAAGGAGCTGGGATTTGAATCTAGGCAGGCTGGCTCCAGGTGGGTCCTCTCCATCTCCATCCTGCTCCTTGGTGGTAGAGATTTGTCCTGCGTCTTCCTCCTCCACACACGGCCAGTGCCCACCCTTGCAGCTGAGGCTCCATGCTTTTGCCAAGCTGCTCAGCTGGGCCCATTCTCTGCCTTCTCTCTCCCCTGCGTGGGGTCATCTGGAAGTAGGAGGGCACTATTCTCAGATGAACCTTTCTTTGCAGGCCTGGGGAAACTCACCATTAGGTTTGACTCTAGAGTAGACCTGGTGTCTCCCCATGGAGGTTGTGCTGGGCGGGGCCCTTTGAGTCTTGGACGTTGGCCTGAAGAATAAGTATGTATGGACAGTGCCCATTCAGTTTGAGTCTCAGAAAGGATTCTCTGGAGAGAAGCGTGTGCAGAAAGATGAGGCTTAGAGTCTGAGACCTTCAGTCCAAGCTCTGGTAATGCAATTTGGTGGCAGCCTACTAATTATCTGAGTCTAGGCACATTATCTGACCACCCAGTGGAAGGGAAGCTGAAAAATTCAAAGGGAAGCTGGAAACTTAGTCTTTACCATTTGTCCAAGGTGTGCTATTGAGCGGGCTATTTTATCTTCAGAAAGAGGCAAATAGCAGCTTCTGCCTCATGGATATTGTGAGGATCACATAGGATAAGTATGTATAACTTAGCCCAGTGCTTGGCTCCATAATGGGGATATATTATTGCTAAAGTGCTTTGAAAATTCAGAGATGTTGTGAATACTAGCTTAGTGCATGTATGTGCATGTGTGGACACACATTTGTGTGTATATATTAGTGGGCCTGGCTCTTCAGCCACTTACTACCCATGAGACTTTTGATACATTGCTTAACCTCGTCTGCCTCACGTTTCATCATCTGTAAAATAGGGATAATTATATCATATTACCTAGGACTCTCATGAAAAGTAAATGAGGGAATATTTGTACTGGGCACTTACATGGGAGCTCCATAAAAGTAGCTGTTATTAGTAAAGCAGTTTACTTAGTAAACTGTAAATTGTTGCATATATATGATTCTTATCTACTTCTTTTTTTTTCTCTTATCTACTTCTTAAAACTTAGAAGAGAAAATGAGCTAGCATTTGTGAAAACACCATGAAAACTCTGAGTCGTTATTCATATTGTAAGTTTGATGATGATGATTTCAGCTAACGAGGTCATGCAAAATAACGGTCTCTGGAATAATGGAAATGGGGAATTGTGTTCCACAAAAGTGAAGCTCACGAATCCTTTGCTATAGGGTTGAGGTCCTGTGGGAAATTGACTGTTTTTCCCCTCTCTTTCCTCGATCCAGCTGCTGGCCCCTGGGACCCTGTGCCGTGAACAGGCACGGCAGTGTGATCTCCCAGAATTCTGCACGGGCAAGTCTCCCCAATGCCCCACCAACTTCTACCAGATGGACGGCACTCCCTGCGAGGGTGGCCAGGCCTACTGCTACAATGGCATGTGCCTCACCTACCAGGAGCAGTGCCAGCAGTTGTGGGGGCCTGGTAAGGACTCTTCTACAGAGAATGTCCCTCCTCCTGCCTCACCACTTCCAAGCCAGCCTCCCCCTTCATGCCCTCAGCATAGCTTAGATCCTTGGTTTCAAAATCGCATCTCTAGATACTCCCTTTTTATTTCCCTTGACTCAGGGTAGGCTTTCAGAGAGAAACAGTGGACAGTGTTCTTCCTAGTTCCTTGATGCTTTAAATTCTCATGGGTAAATGCGTAAGAATAACCCAACAGAAGAATGCACAGATCATGGAGACAGAAAAGGAAATGCAAATGACCCTTAGCTATGAAAAGATATTTAACCTCACTCATATTAAGCAGATTATAACTACTATGAAATGAGATTTTTCATATATCAGATTGACAAAGACTGAAAAATTAACATAATTATTTAATTATTCAAATTAATTTAATAATAATTATAGGTACCATACAACTGGACCAATCTATTCTGCTACTTAAGAGTATACCCTACACTTCTATTTGCACATGTATGTGAAGATAGGTTTATAAGGATATTCACTGCAACATTGTTACTAATAGCAATAGCAACCTATATATCCTCCGGTAGGGACCAATTAAGTCTGGTACATCCCTGTAGTGGAACCCTGTGCAGCTGAATGAAAGAAAGAGGCAACTCTGTATGTACTGAATAAACCCATTTCGTACAATAGATTAAGTGAAAAAAACACTGCTGCCATTTTTAATTAGATAGGTATCTCTGGAAGATACACAAGATAGATACAAGATAGAAGATACATTGTTAATTGTGATGGCTTCTCCAGGTTGTGGGGAAGTAGGAGCTGGAATGGCTAGTTAGAAATATCAAGACATGCTTTATTTCTTTATAATTTTGTGCGTATATTGCCTATTTTAAAATCTAAAATGGAACAGGGCTTTTTAATTAGACAGTAGGTTTAGCACACAAACCGCCCACAGGTATACAATCTCAGTAAGGTATAAAGAATTGATATAACATCCTTTTCTATGAGTAGGTCTTGATGAGAAGTTGGGGGTGGAATAATCTGATGGGGATACAGGAAGAAAAAGCTCAACATTCCCTCCCACCCAAAAAATGTTCTTAACTTCATGATTTTACCAAGGGCTAGCTTTGTACTTTAAGGGGCTTCTGACTTCTCCTAAAGTTGGCTAGTGTGCTGATAAATGTTTCTTGCCCACCCAGGAGCCCGGCCCGCTCCCGATCTCTGCTTTGAGAAGGTGAATGTGGCAGGGGACACCTTTGGAAACTGCGGGAAGGACATGAATGGGGAACACAAGAAGTGCAACATGAGGTGATGACCATAGGGCTGACCCCATAAGATGAGGAGTGACAGAGCAGTTTCTGTTCTGTCCTCACTCCTGTCCACCTCAGCCACTTGGGTCTTTAAGTAAATTGTCAGAGTCAGACAGCTGTTCCAGGCCTGTTCTTGGATGATATACCATTCAGCCTAAGGAAGTCAAAGGGAGGGTATCAATGGCAGTGCTTCCTAGAAAGCTGGTCAGACTTCCTTTTGGGTCCTTCTTAGAGTTGAGCAGGGAATCAGCTCTCTTGGGTCATTTCTGTGGAATGCTAATTATACCCTCATCTGAATACCCTGTCATTCATTTCCTTCCTTCCTTCCTTCCTTCCTTCAACCAACTATCCACCCAATCCTCTATCCATCCATCCATCCATCCATCCATCCGTTGAAGGTTTGCTGTGTGCCAGATACTATGCTGAGTACATGGAACTTTTAATAAATGATACTGTATGATAATGGAAATGTGGAGAGAGCCACCCAATCTGGTCTTAGTAGGTCAAGGTGGTGTCCCAAGGGAAACTGTGCTTAAGCTGAGATCTAGAGAAATTATCCAGTTGAACAAGATAAGGATTTGTGCTGGTACGAGGGAGAGTAGATAGATGAGTAGGAAAACTGGTGGGAAAAGCAGCTGATAACTTTGTTATAGTTCAAGTACAATGTTGGCGTACATTGGAGAGGGAGCTACTGAGAAACAAACCTGGACAGTTGAGCAGGGGGACCAGATCATGAAAAGCCTTGAATGCATGACTAGGGGAATTTGGACTTTAGCTTGAGAGGAGTTTGGAAATTAGACACCAGTGGAGGCAAGGCTGAAAGCAGGGAGATCAGTTTCTTGCTGTCCAGGTGACAAAAGGATGGAGGTGTGATTTGAGGTAAATATATATGAGGGAGGATTGACAGGGCTTGGGAATTACTTGAATGCAGGAGTGAGGGAGAATGGAGAGTGGGGATGACACCAGGCTTCTGGCTGTAGCTCCTGGGTGCAGGGGGGTGGGTGGAGCATAAGGGGCAGGTTGCTCAGGTAAGGCTGTTGTCCTTGCAGTAAAGAGGACTTCCCAAGGCCAGCTCTCTGGCACAGATCTGCTTGGGGACAAGGATCTAATTTTCTATCCTTAGTCTAAGTTCACATGAGATCTCTCCTGCTGGGTCCCTAGGGCACACTCGTTGCTCCTCGGCCCCTCCCCTATCCACGCCTGCTCTCCTGAGCAATGAAAGATTGAAGCTCTTCTGTCCCCCAGTTCTTCCCCTCCTCTGATTCTACCTCCTTCCTTCCCCCTCTCTCTTGGGCTCAGAGATGCCAAGTGTGGGAAGATCCAGTGTCAGAGCTCTGAGGCCCGGCCCCTGGAGTCCAATGCAGTGCCCATCGACACCACCATCATCTTGAACGGGAGGCAGATCCGATGCCGGGGCACCCATGTCTACCGTGGTCCTGAGGAGGAGGGGGACATGCTGGACCCGGGCCTGGTGATGACCGGGACCAAGTGTGGCTACAACCATGTGAGTCCCAGTCTCACTCAAGGGAGAGGGGAGTGACTGAGAGATGTGAGCTCTGGAGGAAAGGTGCCTGGGCTCAAATCCCAGCTTCCCAGCCTCTCTGTGTCTCCATGGCTTCCATTATAAGACATGTCAGTAATAGCATGACCCACCCCAGAGAACTGTTGTAAGGATTAAATGAGATAATCCCTGTAAACCACTTAGAAGGGCTAGCTGTTATCACTTTTGTCCTCATCATGAATTATATGACTTAAGAAATGGACTAGACTCTAGTCCAGGAGCCTTGGGAAGATAAAGGCACCTATCTCAGTTAACTGAGAAGGAAATTAGAAAAAACACGTGAAGCATTTATTTGGTATAGCACAGAGTAGACTGCTGTCACCATCATTATTTTTAAGGACAATATTAAAATTAATGCATATTAATATACACTTAAGTAATTAACATATAACCAACATATTAATATAGAATGTAATAACATCTATTTGTTATATTAAATATAATGTCTTAATAATATAATGTTTATTATTTTCTCCCTCATCACAAAATTAATATCAGAATTTAGTTAACTATCATCCTGTCCTTGGTTTTTAGGTCATTTTCAATTTTTCAGTGTAATAAATAACCTGAAGTGAGTTGCATTTTCGAGTCCCATATGTCCTAAGTGTAAAACCCCCATCTCCTGATTGCTAACCAGTGTCCCTTCTATGGCACTGACAGTTTGGTTTCCTCCTCAATACAGATTTGCTTCGAGGGGCAGTGCAGGAACACCTCCTTCTTTGAGACGGAAGGCTGTGGGAAGAAGTGCAATGGCCATGGGGTGCGTGTGCCCCCAGGGGATTCCGGGGTTCCCCTGCACTGATGTCCACTGGGGCGGGGCGGGGGGGGGGTTCAGGCCCTAGGGGAGGCCAGACCTCTCCAGGGTGCTGACACCTGTGCCCTTCCCTCGCTTCAGGTTTGCAACAACAACCAGAACTGCCACTGCTTCCGAGGCTGGGCCCCACCCTTCTGCAACACCCCCGGCCAAGGGGGCAGCATCGACAGTGGGCCCATGCCCCCTGAGAGTGAGTGCCTGGCCTGCTCAGAGCCTCTGCCCATTTTTATGAGGTTGGGTGGGTGGCCTGTTGTAGAGAAAGAATGAGTCAGCTCCATTATCCTGATTTTGTAGACGAAGGAACACAAAAGAAGGGCCAAGTGGGAGAGTGGCTGAGGCTGGCAGCCTGCTGTGGGACTCATGTCAGTTGCTCTTTCTCTATCATTTCTACTGAGGAGGGCAACACTGCTTGGTTGAAAGAGAGATTGAGACAGATCAGAGGTTATTGAATGATCTCATCTAGTTTTGGATAGTGGAGTGACAACCTGTCCTTCTCAGCCACATAAAAACAATCATGAACCTGGGGCACATTATAATGGTTCAGATTCCCTGGATGAACAAGCTTCAAATGCAGAAACAGACAACCAGAAAAATGTACTACAGTTTTTAGTGTAAACCACAGAGATTCTAGCCCTTTGGTTTCCAAGCTTTCTTTTTTTTTTTTTTTTAATACCAAAGTACTTTTGTGTGAACAAAATCTCTTAGAGAAGAAACTCTAGTTTATAAAACAGACAAAAGTCGTGTGTCTGTACATTTAAATTGTACATTTAAATGCACATTGTACATTTAAATTTGTAATTTGTGACAATTGAGGCAGCTTTGATGAAACCAAATATGAAATTGTGGATTATCCATGAGACTTTTAGTCCTAGGTTGGTCTCAGCCTCTCAGCATTTGGGGTTGGTTGCTTTGTGTCCAGAAAAACCATGATTCAGGCTAAAAGCTAGTGGTAAATAATAATAGAACTTGAACTCCTTGCCTCAAAAGGAACTTTTAAATTAAACAGAAGTGTCTGAAGAAGCTTCACTATGAGGTCTGCACAAAGCAAGTTGACCTGGCTGTTTAAGCTAATATTAGCAGTTTCCTAGGGGTACATAATGTGTGTGTGTTTATTATACTTCTTAAGTTAAAATAAATAATACAAATTAAGTGCAAATAAAATATCTGAAGAAGAATCAGGAATACAGTGTTTGAATTCCACTGCTGCAGCCCAAATAGCTTCTAAATTTCTAATTCGGGTTCTCTTTCTGGAAGGTGCTGGTCCTGTGATAGCTGGAGTGTTCACGGCCATATTTGTGCTGGCATTCCTTATGCTGATGTACCACTACTGTAAACAGAACAACAAACTGGGCCAGCTCAAGCCTCTAGCCCTCCCTTCCAAGTTGAGGCAACAGTTCAGGTATGATGGGGTGCCATGAAGGACTTGGGTCCATTGATGGACCATAAAGCTTTCTGTAAGCAGAACCGGGTAAAAACAACTGGTGATAGTGGGTCTAAATCAGGGAAGGCAAATGAGCAGTACATGCCGCCATCTTCCCTTCTGCCTTGCTTCACCAATGTGGCAAACATGACTAATTGATCTTACTCTAAGTATTCTCTACTGGTTGTCACTTCAGAATCCTTTTCATCAGACTGCCCCTAACCAATTCAAGTTGAAATGTAAAATGAAATCTGTTTGCCATCTTTTTTGTAATTGATTTGATTTCCATTTTAAAGAGCAGGAAACTGAGGCAATACAGGTGGACTAACCTAAGTCAGCCCTGGGGGGGGGGGGG